CCTGGACTACTTTCAGTCCTTGGCAAGGTCTCTTGGGGTGCCATTGTATGGCAGGGGACAGGGCTTGGTACTGTCAGAGTCACAGGGTAGTTGAGTTGCACAGACCTCAGAGGTGATCTGGGACAACTCTAAGCTCACTTACGACTCCCCTCTGCAATATTTCTGGCCCGAGGGGCATCCACAACTGCTTGAATGCCTCAAAGTCCATCTCTTTGTCCTTGGCTAGCTCTAAATACTACATTGTAGACCATAGTGCTGTCTGGAGCCATATTCTGCCTCCCCACTTATGCTGTGTATCCATACCTACTCTTTCCCTTTCTGCTGCCTACCTCCACTGAAAGAGCACTGGTTAAGGGAAAGAGCAAGATAGTACTTCTGAGTCACAGTCTTTAGGCTGTGTGCCTGGAGAAATTCTTTCTACCAACAATGCTGGCTTTTTTCCACATAAGCCTAGTAGATATCTTTCATCATCCAGAGAATGTATTTTTTAGATAGTTGGCTAAGGCTTAAATCATACAATATTGGGGCTGAAGAAAGCTCAGCAATTACCCAGTCACTTTAGAAATAATGAGATAAAAGAAATAGAAATAAATGAGATAAAAAATGTGATCAATAAATTACTGGAGGTCACTCAACATGATGGGGGCAGAGCTAGGACTACGGCCCAAGTCTTCCGATGCCTGTTTAAGCACTTTCCCACACTCTACAGGTTGTGATGCAAAGCTTGCTCCACCTCTTGAGATGTTGGCCTCACTGGTGCCATCTGATGAGACAATCAACCTCCTATGGTCTGAATGTTTGTATCTCCCTCAAATCTGTATATTGAAGCCCTAACCTCCAATGTGATGGTATTTGGAGGTAAAGCCTTTGGGAGGTGATTAGGTCATGAGGGTGAATCCCTTGGATGGGATTCGTGCCCTTAAAAGAAGAGACCCAGGAGAGATTATCTTTCTCTCTGTCATGTGAGGAAAAGTCAAGAAAACAGATATCTATGAACTAGGAAATAGACTCTTACCAGGAACCAAACTGTCTTACCCCTTGATCTTGGACTTCTGAGTCCCCAGAACCGTGAGAAATAAATGTTTGCTGTTCAAGCCACCTAGTCTATGGTACTTGTTATAGCAGCTCGAACTGACTAAGATGTAACCCACTGAATATACTCAGTGATGCTTACTGAGTGTGCTATGGGCAGACAGGGGTCTTTGCTCTTACAGAGCTTGCTCTCAGGTCAGTGAAGGATTGACAGAACCCAAAAGGCTGCAAGGCTCTGATCCAGCTTTCACATTAGGGTCTTGATTGGGACTAGGGTCACTGAGTTCAGCTCTTAATTCTTCACTGGACCCTGACAGGAAAGGTAAAGTACCTGGAGTTAATGTCCCCACTTAGAACTGTTCCTTAACTTATCACATGTCATCATTTAAGTCCGAAGCACTTCTTGGCTTAGAAAATAAGTCTCCTTACTTCCTCTCCTGTACTCAGCTCTAATATTAAGCAGGAACCCAAGGTCCATGACAAGAACTATAAAAAAAAAAAATCTTTTTTTAAATTAAAACTCATTGTTGTCCATAAAATAAAGTATATCTCTTGGGAGCATTAAAGCTATCAACCAGCTACTTGTAAGTGAGAGAGGCATTTTCTGGTTGACACAGTAAGTGAGAAAGACCCAGATGGTGGAGCCTTTTGGCATGGACTTATCTGCTCCGGCTGTCTAATACATTTCTCCGCTGCGTTAACTCTTCCCCCATCAGAACCATCACATCAGTTTATTTCCAAGGAAGACAAAAACAGAAAGGTGTTTGTCTATAAGATTCCTACCTTCCTCCTTCAACACTGGGTAGTGCCTATTCACTGCTAGAGGCAACTGAAATGATCTGGATCCTTTGGTGATAAATCTCACAGCTCTGGCCCATGCAAGATTCAATATAGTCTCTTCCTCATGAAACAGGAAAGGGGACTAGACTTTTGGGGGCTATGTTACCTGGGCTGGACATGATTCCTGATGAAGATTCAGAATTTATTTAAAAAGGGTTTTGGATTGCTGGATGGAGCATGTTGCATGACTGCTGGCTGGAGAATGAGTCCCTTGGGCTTGAGGCCCTGTCTTCTTTCATGAGGAATCCCTGCCAATCCAGGATCTGTGAAATGCTTCTGCCAGCCAGTCTCTAATTTAGCATATGTACAAAGCCAATTTTTGGACACCATGATGGAGCCTGGCATCTCTGCACCCCTCCATGTTTGTAATGCTCACAGGGAAATAACAAGTAACTAGCAAGACAGAAAAAAAATGTGACAAGAAAAGGCTTTCTAAAATCACAGATAAATTGTCTATGTATTATGTATGTATATGTGTCTCCCTCCTGCTTTTCCAATATAAACTTCCCCCATGTAAATCCTTGTAGTTATTTCATTTAGATTTTCAATCTGGGATGCACTTAGCAATAGCCAACACAGACAAAGATAAAACCCTGCTCCCCACTGAGAACATCTGATTTTTTAAATGTAGAAATGCTGCTCTTTACAAAATAGGACATTTCCCTTTTAATTAGTTTCAAAATACACCCAAATAATTTGCAACTAGGAAATGATACCATTTAAGAGTACTTAAAATAATTCCCATGCATGCAAAGCCAATTTGATGAGAGGCACAAGCTAGTGAAACCTTAAGTTTTTAGATAAACTGAACTTTTTCTGTGGGGACAGCTATCACTAACATGGGCAAATTATCACTATCTTCTCTCAGAAAACTCCAGTCAAAAAGAAAAAAAAAGAATAGAAAAGAAAAAAGAAAAGAAAACCCCAGTCTAAGGTATTTTCTGAATATTCTCAATTGCTAATTGAGGCTTGAATGTACCCATCCATCTTAGCTGAAAATATGGACCTTCCTGCCTCCCTCCCTTTCTCTAGATTTTCTTGCCAACCATCTAGTTTTCTAACAGTCCTTCGAGAGAATGGGTAGACACAAAAGCTCTATGGTAAGATGTCACGCTATCTTTGAAAATAAATACATATATTGTGCTCACCTACCCTTCAATGTGCCAGCAACGAGTCCCTAGAGGGGCATCCATCAGGAGAGGCATTTTGACTTTTGCCTGTGCATGAATGAAATCAAATCTCTGAATAAAAGGGAAGGCGAGACTAACATGATTTTCCTCAGTGCCTGGATTATGACAATGACCAACTTTTCAGCTCTTTTGGTAGGTGAGATCCCTGCCCTTCCGGCCAGGTGAGCCGCTGCTGATAGGTCTGCTCGCATGGTATGAACAAACTTTTCCAAACCATACTCAGTCCTTACCTGTTAGGGTAGAAAGAAAGTCTGAGCCCTGCATGTATAAATATAAATATTTTAGGAGTCTGGCTGATGGTGAGATTTGCACGGCCATGCAGAAGCCAAGCTTGATTGCCCTGGCCTGGTGTGGGGCTCCCCAGGTGGCAGGGGCTGAGAGCGGGCAGTGCAATTGGCGGGGGGTGGAAGTGAGTGCCTCCAGTCATTCTGAGTAGCCCCTGGGCTGATTAGTGACGAGGGCTGACAGGCTCCTAAGGGGAGGTCCTGTCCAGTTTCTTTCTGCAGCAGGGATGATGGGCCATGCATGGGGTCCTGAGGCAGAGACTGGGGATTTTTTTGTGTGACCATGACTACATTCCTCATCAACAGGCCACACTCATGGTCTCTTTGGAGGCCACCGACTCACTGGAGGATTACCATTAAGGGACGTCTGCTCAGTGGCGCCAGGTTCTTTCCCCACCCCTCAGGGGCCAGCATGGTGCCTCCATGCTGCTTCACCCAAGCCAGACAGAAGGGCAGGGCACCAGGTCTGGGAATTAGAGAGGGCGATCGATATGTGTATACGGAACACAGTCACGGACAATTGAAAAGGCTCACACGTAATCCCACTGGGAACTGCTTAAAACTGAAGTCCGTGATAAATGACTCACGGAACCCAGACCCCGACTCGTCTGCCTGGGAATGGCCAGAGGTGAGGTTCATAACATTTGTGATTCATGGAGATCAAGGGCCTAGAATGTATGTAAAGGATACTGGGACTGGCCCTGCAAATAAAAATAACTCTTTAAACAGAAGAATTTTTTACTCCTGACTGATCTTGAAACCCTGAATTATGAGATCGCTACCTTTTCAAGTCTGGTGTCAAAGGAAAGACTACTTCTTTGCAACATAATGCTTACAACTTGAGATCTATTGCCTCGGCACCCTGACACAGCTGCCACCTTGCCAGTACATGGAGAGTCTTTGCTGATGAGCATGTGTTCATTGGGGAGACCATTTGGAGAATAACCAGAGACTGTAGAGTTATGAGAACTAAAGTAGATATGGGATTAGAATACAGATGTTTTGAACTTCTGGCTTTTGATGAAGTAAAATCATTAAGAATTGAAAAAGTATGTACTTACGCTATATCAAAGTTCGGTAGATTCTAAGATCAGAGTTGGATTATAATTTGGAATTAATTTACATGGTTTGTGGTCCTAGTAATGCAGTGATTTTCCTAGTGAAAATAAAACATTTGACATCCTGGATTGCTGAGAGTTGGGTTATAACAGAGTCAAAGGAAAGGTAATCTCTGGATAGAGAAAAGCTGTATCAGTCAGGGATCTCCAGAGAAACAGAAGAGAGATAGACAGATTTATTTTAAGGAATTGGCTTACAAGATTGTGGACTGACAAATTCAAAATCCACCAGGGAAGCTGGCACACTGGAAACCTGGGCAAGAGTTGATGTTATAATCCTGAAGGCAGAATTTCTTCTCCAGGAGACCTTCGACTGATTGGATGGGACCCATCTACATTACCCAGGGTAATCTACTTTACATAAAGTAAACTGATTAGAGATGTTAACTATATCCACAAAATATCTTCCCAGCACCATCTAGATTTGTGTTTGATTAAATGACTGGGTACTTACTATAGCTTAACCAAGTTGATGCAAAAAACAGACCATCACAGATTTCTTTTAAACTGTGGAAAAAAAATCAATGTCTTCGGTCCATAAAGATTTGCCTTCTTCCTTTTGGAAGGGTCCTGCAAGTCACGCCTTATCAAATGAGGCATGATACACGAGCGATCTGCGGCTCTAAAGTCTTCCTCACCAGATATCCATTGGGAGAAGATGCAGACTCTGAGCCTTGTATAAATATTGTACAGAGAAGGGAATGGCAAACAAGCTGAAATGGAGAGGAGGAAGAGCACCTATTCTAATACTTTCTGTTCTGTTCTACCAGTGTCTCCAAAGCAGTTGTTCCAACCATGGCCAACATAGTAATGGTTGTCTGTGTTGCCCACCTGACCAGTTCCTAGCACATGCTTTCCCTGACTGCTGTTCTGAAATATCCACTAAGTGTGTCCTTTGAGCATGATGCGCTCTTAACCCATGGGTAAACCTCATGAAAGGTGATGAGGAATGCATTATATTGGGCCAACAAGTGAGTCACAGGGGTTCTCATCCCAAAGAAACATAAGCTTCCTTCCCTGCTAATTATACTATGCATCCTTCTTTTCATAAATTTTATATTTATAAAATAGTTTAAACAACGAAGCATCCTTCATCTAAAGAGGACTAAACCAAAAGGAAAAAAAAAAACTTGCAACAGAAATAATATCGTTTTAATTCTTATCTCTAAGGTCAGATGATAAGTAACATTCACATGACACTTTATCATTTATAAAGTGCTTTCACATACACTCATTTTATTTTTGTATCCTTCAGACTAAAAGGTTGATGGCATCACCCCCATTTTACAGATGATGCCATAAAAGGCTTGGAAAGATTAGCAGCCCTTCCTGATCTGATATGGCCATCAGACTGCTCAGCGGGGACTGGAACTGCAGTCTTCTGCTCCTGGCTACACCCTGGGCTGTTCTGGGGCTTGCTGGTGACCAGTTCAACCTCAAACCCTAGTTTACGGAATTACATAAAGGTGGCCAGAATCTGACTGGCCAACAAATCAAGTGACTCTCTGCTTACGGAAAACCATTGAAGTTATTATTTCTACAGATGGCCAAGGTACCCTTTTCCCTTCCATGTGTGTTTCGTGGGTGCAGAGAGCTCTCTCTATTGGAAATCAGTGGGAGGGCTCCGAACAATAAAGAGCAGGGAATGAGAAGCAGGATGTGGATCTATTCCATAAAGTGAAAACTTAACGTCCTAACAAGTAATTAAGAAAAAATTCGAGGTTGTTTCCTCAGCTGATCATCACCGGCAGAGCCAACTTTGGATTAAACACTTCTGCTCAGTGGTTTTGACATTCTCAGTCAGGCATATCTTGATGAAATTAGAGATGCAGAAAATATTTTTTGATGGAGCGCAGGGACAAAACAGCTAGAAGGGAAGCCAATTTTATACACAAACTTGTACAGACTGAGATAAAGAGGAAAAGGGAAAGCAAGAGAATAAGGAGTGTGTGAGTGTGTGTAAATGAAAGGAAATGAAAGCAAGTGAGAGAAGAGGAAAGGCCGATGCTCATTAATTAGACTTTAAGTTCTTGGCAGTAAGAGGTGTATTTATAAACAATCTTCACTAAAACATACCTTTCCAACTATTGACTGTTTTATTTGCCAAAAAAGTCTCTAATTATTCTGTACTGTTTCAATCCAAAAGCAGAGAGAGAAATATTAATAAGAGAACATAACCGTTCTTATGATGGAACATAGATCTCTGCACAGAGGTCAATATTTCTAACGTTCAATTAACAAAGTGTGGCCAGTGTAAACTATTTTACAACAGGATTAGTTGGGGGCTATTAGATAGTTTTCAAACTAGTAAAAAAAAAAAAAAGAAAAGAAAAAAGAAAAAAGAAAAAAGAAAAAAAGAAAAGAAAAAACCTAGACCAAAGATATAAAAGTTGAAATGTTAACTATTCAGGAACCTCTTAATAGCATGCTTATACTAAGCCATCAGTAAAACAACTAGCTTTCCTCTTAGGACTTAAGTCTAGAAAAGTCTGATCTATAAGAGTATAATAAACACTTACAGACGTGTCGACATTTTTTGGTAAATTATCTCCCATGCATCCTTTCCTAAGGAAGTTACTAGAGGATGTACTCCCTTAAAATGAGGGAATAAACCAAGAAAAAAAAAAAAGACATGAGATCCAATAAACATAAAATCCAACTCAGAAATTAGGCCAAAGGACTTCCCAGGATGACAGGGAAGGCAGCTACCATATAACAAGTCAGTAGGCAGCCAACACATATCGGAGAAGGGATGATGGCTCTGGTGGAGTTTGGGACTGAATTAGCGAGAGACATCTAGAAGACACAGCAAATTCAATAGGCGAAGAGATGAACTGTGGCACTCATACAATGGAATACTAGTCAGCAATAAAAAGAAGATCAAGCCACAAAAAAGATATGAAGGAATCCTAAATGCATTAACGCTAAGTGAAAGAAGCCAGTCTGAAAAGTCTATACACTATATGATTCTGACTATTTGACATTCTGGAAAAGGCAAAATTATGGAGACAGTAAAAACATCAGTGGTTCCCAGGGGATCACTAGAAAAGACTGAAACAGGCAGAGCAGAGGGGATTTTTAGAGTAATAAAACTATTTTGTATGATACTGTAACGGTAGATATATGACATTAAGCAGTTGTCAAAACCCATAAACTGTACAAGATTGAGAGTGAATCCTTAATGTGAGCTACGGACTTGGGTTAATAAACATTTTTTTGATAAATAAGTAGAACCAAGGAAATTATTAATTTCTTTTTTTTTTATTAAAAAAAAATTTTTTTTTCAACGTTTATTTATTTTTGGGACAGAGAGAGAGCATGAACGGGGGAGGGGCAGAGAGAGAGGGAGACACAGAATCGGAAACAGGCTCCAGGCTCTGAGCCATCAGCCCAGAGCCCGACGCAGGGCTCGAACTCACGGACCGCGAGATCGTGACCTGGCTGAAGTCGGACGCCCAACCGACTGCGCCACCCAGGCGCCCCGGAAATTATTAATTTCAAGAACAAGAAAGCAAATATAATCACAGTAAACCATATTAAGTAAACCTTAAATATTGATCTAGTCCTAAAATATACTTATATTGGGAGGATGGGGATAAGAGAGAGAGGTGAGAGAGCTCAATCCTCATCTTACATAAAAAGAAGTCAATTGATAATATTTAAAATTGAAAAATGAAGAAATCACAGTATAAACATGCTATTTAGAAGTAGTAAGAAAGTTAGAAAATTTGAAAGTGATTTTTTTCTAGGGAGTAAGGCCTGGGGAGGGGCAGGAATGGCGGATTTTCTTTCTGAGCTTTATTGTAGCAGAAAGGAAACCCCTAAATCAGCTATGTTTTCCTGACTCCTCAGTACTTTGGGCCACAGTTGTGTAGTGGGTAGGGCACAGGGCATAATGTTAATAAGGTCAGAACTAAGACCTCGCTCTCTGAGCACACTGACCGTACCTTACTTCTCATTTCACTGCAGTCATGTGCCATTTGTCTGAATGGAAACTGGACTACAGCAAATAGAGCCGATCAACACAAAGCCACAATCACCACTTACTAAGGCCCATTGGGCTCATTTGTGGATGTGTTGTACTTGATCTTGTTGAGCATGACTCTTAAGTCACCATGCCTGCTCCTGCCAATGACCAACACAAACCGGAGGGATCTTCCGGTGTCATAAGTAAGTCTCAGTCCTACTTTTGAACCACTTCTTTGACTTCTTTCATGCCCCTGATCCTGTCCCAGTTTTAAGCCTCCTAGGGACTAGTTCTGCTGCTTTGCCTTCCTTTTTATGTTCTTTAAAAAACCTTTTTTTAATGTTTATTTAAAAAAATTGTTTTTAATGTTTATTTATTTTTGAGAGAGAGAGAGAGCGCGCGCGCACGCGCAAGCGAGCATGAGTGGGGGAGGGGCAGAGAGAGAGGGAGACACAGAACGCAAAGCAGGCTTCAGGCTCTGAGCTCTCAGCACAGAGCCTGACATGGGGCTCAAACCCACAAACCGTGAGATCACGACCTGAGCCAAAGTGGTACACTTAACTGACTGAGCCACCCAGACGCCCCCTGTTTACATTCTTATCTACTCATTTGGACTTGACAGTGTGGACCTTGTATTAGTGAGATAAATCACCACAAAACTTAGTGGCTTAAAACCATAACCATTTTATTTGCTCATGGTTCTATGGGTCAGAATTTGCACTGACTCACCTGGGTGGTTCTGCTGGTCTCACTGGGGGCTGCTTATGTGCACCCAGTTATCTGGCAGCTTGTCTGGGGCTGAATGATCTAAGATGACCCCACTCACCCGACTGTTAGTGTGGGGTATCACTGTTAGTGTGGGACTGTAGTGTGGGCTCTCCAACAGGAGAGCTAGGGATCCTGCATGAGATGGCAGAGTTCCGGAAGGGCAATTCCCCAATGTGATCTATAGGCCTATGCAAGTCACCTGGCCTAAACCAGAATCAATGCAGGAGGGGACTACACAAGCGTGTGGATATAGGAGGCATGAATCATTGGAGTGTACCACAGACACTTTCCCTGGTTATGATGTGGGTCCCTGCTTGATTTCCGGGCACCAACCCTCAATGGAGACATATCTTCCCAGGAAATGGAGGTGCCATTTTTGCTCTCAAAGAAGAATATAAGCTCGCTGAGGATTTATTTTTCACTTTTATTGCCCATTCATAAAAGAGAAAAAAAGGCAGTGTGCTTTCTGTGAGGGAAACTAGGTCCTCCTGAGTCTGATCTCAACACCACTGAGCTAGGCCAGACCTAAGAGACCTGGGGAGAAGGCAGCAGCACTTTTGACCACACACATACAGTGCCTTGGTGATGCCTTGCAACACACACCAGAATTCCTTGGCTATGCTTTTCACAAAGAGCAATAAGCCTAATTTCCCACAGCAAATGAAAGTTAGAGATATGCTTATCTAATAACAGTTAGAGATATGCTTATCTGTTCATTCATTTATTTACAGAATAATGTGAATTAAACCAACTAAGTGCCAGGCACTGTGTTAGATGAATGTGTCATAGTTACTGTCTTTAAGTTGCTCAGAACCTATTAAGGGATACAGATAAATACAGACATCCTTTGATATCCAAACCTAGTCAATTTGTGAAAATGGCTGGATGAAAATGGACTGAAAAAGTTTTTGAATATGAGAGCTTACATTCCCTCATTGTAAATGGAAACAACAGTATTGTGTTCCCAGCCAGCCTCAAAACCCCGATCAATTCCCTCAAAAAAAATTTTTTTTAATGTTTATTTATTTTGAGATAGAGCAAGAGCGGGGTAGGGGCAGAGAGAGAGAGAGAGAGAGAGAGGGAGAGAGAGATTCCCAAGCAAGCTCTGTACTGCTAGTACAGAGCCCTACGTGGAGCTCAAACTCATGAACTGAGATCATGACCTGAGCCGAAACCAAGAGTGGGACACTCAACCGACGGAGTCACCAAGGTGCTCCACTTCAAAAATTCTTCTTAAAGTTTAATTGCCTATGTAACAACTCACCAAGTATTTTCTACATTATGTCAAGGATTTAAAACACTAAATATTTAGCAGTGAATGAGCACTCATGGGTATATTTTTACAATAAATGATACTGCACAGTAACGGATACAGCTCATGTTCTCCTTCTATGCCATATTAACATGTATAGTAATGTACATAAACAATGGAACAACATGCTAAGGAACCTTTCTTAGAAGACTTAATATAACACGAAAAACCTAAATGTTTTTGCTAGCACATACATGCATCTCTGTGTTGGTATTTTGATCTAAATGTTGAATTCTGGGCTTAAAGTTTCTTCAAGTTATTATAGTAATTACTCCAACGGGGAGAGTTTAGATAGTGCAGAGGGTTTTTTTTTCTAATATTGAGACTATGAAGCAACATGGCAATGATCTCTGTAGAGAGTTACATGACCGAAGGAGGAAACAAAAGTGTATTCAAATATGACCAGGTAGGGGCGCCTGGGTGGCGCAGTCGGTTAAGCGTCCGACTTCAGCCAGGTCACGATCTCGCGGTCCGTGAGTTCGAGCCCCGCGTCAGGCTCTGGGCTGATGGCTCAGAGCCTAGAGCCTGGAGCCTGTTTCCGATTCTGTGTCTCCCTCTCTCTCTGCCCCTCCCCCGTTCATGCTCTGTCTCTCTCTGTCCCAAAAATAAATAAACGTTGAAAAAAAATTAAAAAAAAATGTTTACAAATATGACCAGGTATACATTCTGTGTGCATATGGGCAAGTAAACAAAGAATATTGAAACAGCATGTCTACTGTTACTGTGGTAAGTATCTGAGTGATTTTTTCCCCATTTTTATTATTCTATTTTTCTGCAGTTAAGACAAGATATTTAAAACACAAATGTGCAAAAACAATAGATGCAAATATAAGTGTGAATGCAACACCCTCCCACCCCAACCCCTGCAGGATCTTCAGTGCCTGGTTATGCCATTGCCAGTGGAGAAGGCTGGACGTGCAGCAGAGATCACCTGGATCAGGTCTGCTTTATGGAAGCTGGCATTCTCTGCAACCAGCAGCCACCGAACCCGCATATCAAAATTTCATATATAAAATACAAGTGCTCGGGCACCTGGGTGGCTCAGTTGGTTAAGCGTGTTTTGATCTCAGCTCAGATCATGATCTCATGGTTCGTGGGATCGAGTCCTACATTGGGCTCTGTACTGATGTTGCAGAGCCTGCTTGGGATTCTCGCTCTTCCTTTCTCTCTGCCCCTTTCCTGCAGACTCTTTCACCCAAAATAAATAAATAAACGTTAAAAAATAAAACACAAATGCCATGCATTGTATAGTAGGTAGCTGAGGATGTATTACATTTTTGTAATTTAAATTATACCAAAGAAACACAAGAAGAACTTGCTATTTAAAAATCCCTGGTAGAGAATTCTTTTGATGAGCAAACATTGCTTTAACTTTACCATTCACCCTCCTGATTTAAGCGTTTTGATAAGTTGGATTGTCTCAAAGCAGAGTGTAACAGTAGCATCTCATACTTGTTTTAGACAATTTTTGTGCATCAGCTTGACAGAATATTAAGAAGTCATTAACATTTATAATTATGAAGACTGTGGTGATGTGGAAAAATTCTTGTGCTGTGTTAAGTAAAAAATATCTAACTACAAAATTACATTCAAACTATTACTGCAACGAAGTAAATATGCATGGGGAGTGACTAGAAAAGAACACTGGGTAAGGAAAGCATTTTTACACATGGCACATTTCAAGTGGATTAAGTGGAGCTTTGCACAAAGCAAATCCTACCTTACAGCTATAGAAACCGAAGAGGGTAAATGACTTCACATTTTAGCTACAGTGATATGAGCTGGTAGAACAGAAAACCTACAATCATAGAGGCTTAACACAGTAGCAGCTCCTGTCTTGTTCATGTTGAATCTAATCTGTGAGTGGGGGCAGGGGTTGCCTTCTGCTCCACCCAGTCTTCAGGGACCCAGGCTGCCAGTAGCTCTATCATCTTTTTAAAAAATTAATTAATTAATTAATTAATTAATTGAGAGAGAGAGAGAGAGAGAGAGAGAGAGAGAAAGAGAAAGAGAAAGTATGAGCAGGGGAGGGGCAGAGAGAGGAGAGAGCTGAGAATCCCAAGCAGGCTCCACAATGCCAGCATGGAGCCTGATGCAGGGCTCAAATTCACAAACTGGGGCTCAAACTCCATGACCTGAGCCGAAGTCGGATGCTTAACCGACTGAGCCACCCAGGTGCCCCAGTGGCCCTATCATCTTTAACCCACAACTTTCAAGGTGTCTCTCTGGCTATTAACAATTGACAAGGAGAAAGAACATGGTGGATAGTGAAAAGTTTTTATGGGTGAGGGATGGAAGTAGTAAACATCACTCCCACCCACATTCTGTGGGTCAGAACTTAATCATATGGCAATATGTAACTGCAAAGGAGGCTGGGAAATATCATCTGTGTGCCAGGAAGAAGTAGAAGTGGGTTTTGGTGAACAGCTGGCTGGTATCTGTTACACAAATTCTCACATGTAACCAGATAGGGCAAGAACTGGAAGCCAGTCTTCCTTTCTTGGCTTTGTGCTTACATTTTCATTTCTCATTCATTCATTTATTCTTTCTCTCTCTCTCTCTCTCTCTCTCTCTCTCTCTCTCTCTCTCTCTCACACACACACACACACACACACACACACACTAAAGATAAAGACTTTATGTGTTGAAATCTAAACAAAAGACTGTTGTTCTATATCTAAGGACTCCCAATACAATCTGATTCTTTTTAGGAAACTCATTACATTCTCAATGAAAATTATCATCCCTGGGAAGGAAATATTTACCAGGGATAAATCCAGATTCTGGAACAAGAGAATTTGGCTAAGAGCTGAAAAAGAAAGAGATGAGCAAATGCCTACATAATCCCATGGCCTTTATATTTCAGGTATCACTCACATCTTTGCTTAGGCACTGTCCCATTATTAGTGGGTAGGAGGAAAATTGAATCCTACCTGTAGTATACATTAAGACCCCTACCACTTTTTCTGAAATCCCAGCCAGAAGGCACTAGAAAAGAGTTGGCATGTTTATCTTCTGTTTTACTAGGCCCTCGCCCAACTTTTCAGACCCAAATCCACTGTGGTTGTGACCAACAAAAGTAAGCATATAGTCATTGAGAGCCATTTTCAAGAAAAGACATTAAAAGCACATTAAAATATTATTTGGGGGTTGCATCCTGGAAAACAGCTATCTGTCCTAAATTTGGCATTTTTCATGTCAAATGTTCTTGCTTGGTGAATAAATCAGTTCAAATAAGAATAAATCATTAGATCTTATTGGTCCTTGGTGGGGCTTGGTGAATGCTGTTTATGCTAAATATCAAAGTTATAGCCAGAGCTTAGATTGGACAATGAGAAAAATAAATTGCTATTTTGTACTTCTTTGTCCCCTGCCGAGACTACCAGTATAATGCCTTGAACATTTAGGCACTTGGTATAACAATACTGAGCTAATCATTATGTTATGTTCTTTGACTATAATTCAGAAACTATTGAATTAAGTATGGAAAACTGTACCTATAATAAATGCTGTCAGGCTGCTCTGTTTATAGGCCTGCTCTGAACTTTTTATAGGCCTGCCCATTTCCTCACATGCACAACACACACAGATACACACACACACACACACGCACCTATATGCGCCAACCCACATGCCATCTACACACCTATACACATACCATACACACACGCACGCACACCCGTATAAACCCATCCCCACACATATATCATCCACACATCCACACTATCCACACACACACACACACACCTGTACATCCCAGTCCACACACACACACACACACACCATCCACACACACAACACATTCATATACATGCACACACAAACGAGCTGTATCTTTATTCTTGGGAATGCTGCTCCTCACAGCTGTTCCATGGGGTAACCCTAAATGATCTGGCAAGCAATCAGGTCTGAAGTGCCTCCCCAAAAGGCAGAGTGGATTAATCCAGGTAGGATGCTGTCCCTGAGGCCACTGGAGAAACCTGTGCCTCAGGAGGCCCACCCTGGCTTACTCTCTCGCTCGCTACCTTGTATTTTAACAGTTGAAAGGGGAAACCTTTATTCTTTAGGATAAAGAAACATCTAGGAGGCTCAATTCATATTCTCTGAGTTCAGTCTCTGTTTCTGACTCTGTGACTTTTGCCTTACTTTCGCCAGGGCTTTGGTAGCCCTTGAACCAGGGCTTGTGGTAACCCATAATATCTACATGATGAAGAGGGAGGAACCGGCAACTTAAAGGCCAGCGTCAGAATTATCAGGAAGGAAATTATCTTTCTAAAAAGTATTATTTTAATAACCATGAATATAGTTAGCACAGAAAGACTAAGGGTAAAAAGAACTACTTCTGTTCAATTAAAAAGAAATAAATTGTTTGGGTTAGTTGCTAGTGTTAAGACTGCCCTGACGGGGAGGCTGGGATGGACTAGGAGTGAAACAAAGAAAACCAAACTTCTCTGCTAAATAAAGTAAGATGAATGAAGAGGTTCTAGCAGTTTGAGAAAGAGAGGGGGTGGGGAGTTAGAAAGGTGGTGGAACTTTGGTCGATGACAGTAACCTATGGATTGTTCTATTTTAAATAGTTTATTGTGCTATGGTGTGCTTTCCAGAAGCTGGAGGACATGGGGACAGCAAAGTGGCCATTGTCTAATTTACAGGTGAGATATATTGAGCACTTATAAGCCAGGCACTAGCTTATGCAATTAACATGCACATTCTGATTTAATCCTCATACCCACTCTGTGTGATAAGCCTGTGACTATCCTGATTTTACAGATGAGGACACAGAGGCTTGCCAAGGGTCAGACACCCAGTAAGTGAGAGCCCAAATCTGACTCTGACTGATTGAAAAGTCCATCCTATTCATTAGTCACTACAGCCTATTGTCCTCATGAATACTGAAGACTATAGTACTAAGCTATGGAGCAGAAATTATTGTGGTTTACTAATTAAGGGCGATAAAAGCATCCCAGAAATGCAAAGTACTAAGTAAATACTAGTATTACTGTTCTTGCACTTGACCACTGACATCTGAAGGAAGCACTGTCATCTAAAATGGAAGCCAGCAAGGGCTTATTAATGTCACATGAAAATGATATAGTTAAATACTCATGTTTGCATTCCACTGGATATTTATATTCTGAAGACCATGTTCTCAGGCACTGAACTCCCATTAAGGTCAGGATCATTTGCAAATCCAGAAGAAAAGACAGCTATATCACTTTTTTTTTTTTTTTTTTGTCCTGAGACAAAAAGAAGAAAAGTGGTTCAGCGTTTTGGCTCAGAATTGTAAAGCAGAAATCATGGTGCCTTTACCACTCTTGCTTCAAAAAGAAGAAATTATAGCCTTTCATTCTCCTAGCAGCATGTAACTAAGGTTTAGATGAGTGAACAGATGCATGCAAAAATCAGCCACGCGCATAGAAAACATTCATTTTCACAATCTGGTAAATCTGCTAGGTACGCATGAAACGGAGCCAAATTGATTTCAGCAGAATGCAATGTCACAGCCTCGGCACAACAGGGATTCTTCTCAGCCTCACTCAGTGCCAGGCCTGTTACCATCCAGGGTCCTGGGTGTATTGATCACCCAGTCACCGAGGGTATGTGAATAGTCCCATAAATGGTGGCATGATTAGTTGAACCCCAGTTGACCAGCTTGTGTTATTTCCATTCCTATTGATGTACTGGAACATGCAACCGTGTTCTTGCTTTTCCCACCTGGAAGCCTATTTTGAGCTTCTTGCTACCCAGCACCTTATCCCTTCCACAGGTAGTTCATAGAGCTATGGAATCCAAAAACAGAAAGTGTCCTTAGGGATCAGCTTGTCCAATTCCTTCATTTTATTGATGAGAGATACAGGGAGGAGAAAACTCTTTTCCAGGCCACATGGATCATTAACAATAACCCACACTCCTTCTGAC